TATTGAATATTAAATTCTACCCTTTTTGCATGCAGGCAAACGATGCCATCCAAGAAGCTTACAAACTTCAAGCAGATTGTGTTCAGACATATTTTATCCATTTCAAGATTTGCTTGGCTAGTACCAATGACGATAAAGGCAAATATTCTTTTATTATCTATGTTTGAGCTTCACGGGCAAATTGCCCATATCAATTTAAGTCTCTAAATAGCAGATTTTTTCTATGAGCTAGCCATGTTGAGATAATCGACCTCTTCTTTGAAAAGCAAATGACTTTGCATGCTTTGAGATTATCATATTTTCTTGCCTAACTAGTAAAATATCCACATATTTTACTTAACTGTTTCTCTTGCATTAGTTATGTCGGAAGTCACTACATTGCAAAGTAGAGAATAAAGTATCTTTCGACTCCAATTCTGGATAAAAAGCGGACGGGGCATTGGGTTTCTGTACTGGATTCATGGACTTGCCTTCTTAATTGTGACAAATCTGTACTTTGTATTTTTCTTAAACAAAAGAAAAGATATCAAAATACGTTTCCCCTATCACTTTCAAAGAAAAATTGACTTGCCTAAAACATTACCTCTATTATACTTGTGTATCATGTTTAGCTTTAGTATGCATACAGAAAATTAGTGAGCTGGCTTTGGAGCAAACAGATTCAAGTGTCTATCATGGTTTTATTTGCTTAGCAGCGCAAATGGCTTTTCAGGTAAGACCAATTTATGCTTGTAATATTGGCACAATAGTGCATGTTTCAGGATATGTTGGATAAACTAGGGCTTAATCATTCTACTTTCAAGAAAGCATCTAGGTTCTTCAGCAACTTCTTGTTGGAAAATTGCCAGCATCAAGAAGTTTAAATTTCTTGGTGTTATTGCAAATGTTTGAAGCCACATAAATAGCGTTTTCTACAAGCAACTATTAAATGTAGCTCTAACCTTTCAAATCCCTGCTATTTCTGTCAATGACATAAGCCGACTTTCTAAAAGTAGAGGGGCTGCAACTTAAAAACATGAATAACGATGAGTTACCTCAAAAATTGAACTTTATATTACTTTCGTCAATTTTAACTGTAAATATAGTAGTAAATTTGAAGAGATAGTCTAGCATGCTTTTGAGCTTTCAATACCAAATTATTTTATGATTAAAATTGATTGAGTTATCAATGGCTGCATCCGTACCCATCTACCACCCCCTGGTAATATAACTGCCTGTTTCTTGCAATAAAAAAATTTCAGTTATGTCCTTGCTTTGTAAGAGCTGGGGGAGGGACAAACCTTCTAGTCAATTAGTCCTAATAAATGATGTCCCATCGAGACACAACAAGGTTACCAAACAGCTGTTTTTATCTTTCCATTACTGAAGGATGGAAACAAAAAAGTAGCCGTGGCTGCCTTGGAGAAAATAATTCAACAAGCCAAAGAATCTAAACAGATTTTAACTGCTTTGAGGTATGTTTCCGTTCAGATTTTAATTGGCAATTAATATGTGAAAAGTTGATCTGCCACAAGCTTTAGAATGATTTGCAATCATTTCTTACAAAAGCGCAAATTTTTCTGAAAGTTAACAAATGCTTTTTCCGTAAATGCGATTCAAATTTCTTAGATACATGCAAGATCAAAATCAAGAAATTTTCTCAAATCAATAAGACATCTTCACATTTATTATGCATAAAATGACACTGATGTTATGATTGCTGCAGACTGCATGTCTGCATGAATGATGAATTTATGCTAACTACTTCTAGCATCTGCATCTTCGGATATTATTCTGAAAAGCCATTTTTTTCTTTTATTCGGTACAACTCCATCTAGAACCTTAGATACTTCAATTCCAATGCAGATTCTTGAAAATCAGTTTGATAAACTCCACAAAAGAGAGAGTCTAGATTCTTCTGTTACATTCTAAATGATTATCGCAAATCTCTTCTGTGAGATTACATGGAGCCTTGCCTTGATGACTTTCTGTAAGATTATGAGAATGGCCCAGCAACTAGCCAAAACTTAGATTCTTTGCAACTGCAATGACTGCCAATCAACGTTGCAAATTTTATTACATTCATTAAATCTCTCAAAGTTTATAACTGCTCTTTGTTTTACGTCAGCTATCATTTTCACAGGTGCCTTTTAAGACTGAAGTACACGTATCTTTCTCCTGTCAATAAAAGGTACAAAACATTTTGACTTCCTGACTTTGTATCTATCTGTTTCCGACTGAAAGCTCAATAAATAATTGTTGAATGGATAAATAAATAAAAGTGGGTAAACAAATAAGTTTATAAGAATATTGTTAGAATTTTTTGTATTAATTCAGTTCTACTTTTAGTTGAGATCAATATCAGCAAAAATTATGATATATAAGCTGCTGAGCTATTAAATCTACATTTGTTGGATGATATTGTAAAACTTTTTGTACAATTCTAAACTTCGAAGTACGATAGACCAACTCTGAAATTTTATTATATTGTCAAATCAACAACTTTAGAAACAACAGTGGAGTTCACGTAAAGATGTAAATGCATAATTTTTAATATAAATGCATTTTTCATAGTGATGAAGTAAAGGCAATGCTTGGATTCATCAAAAGAGGTCAGATCAAAAGTTGTTTATTCTCCAAATAAGCCTTTGGTACCGCAAAATTTGAAAATAGCACGTAAAAGCAGAAAATAACATAATAAAGTACTTTTCGCCCGGCACTCGTCAGAGTATAAACGTTTGATAATGTCCAAAGGTAAGCAGAATATTTATATCCAGATGTAGATCGAAAGTAACGGGAGAGGAAGAATAGCGCATTTGATTGGTTCCTTGTTTTTGACCAATCGCAGCAGCTAATTTCTCACCTAGATGAAGAGTCCGAGAGTGAAAATGAACCCTTGGACATTACCCGACTTTCATGCTCTGACGAGCGTCGGACGAATGTTACTTTATTATCTCATGTTGCCGCTTTTCCATGTTGTTTATTTTCTACATTTTCACGCTCAAGTGCTGAAAATAAATAAAAATGGGAATGTGCACTTGTTAAGTTGGAAGCCACAGCCTATGAATAAGAAAATAAGCAGTGGATATCTATAAATAAAAACAAATGAAAGTGGCAGGACATAAAAGGAGTCCTCCTAAACATCCCTTGTAGACATCAATAAGCCTGCCTCCTTTTGACGTGCCATAGCCATAGAGTGACCTCGTCCTAGAAACACCATTCGATTGAAAACGAGAATGCAAACCCCATAGAACCCCAAAGAAATATTTTATTTCCCACCAACTGTTGAAAAAATCTAGCTTATATACATCTCTTTATCAATGTATTTGTAGAAGTGATATGTATCTTATTCGAGATGTGTAGACATTAAGAGCTTCATCCGCTGAATTTGATTTCATCTCTAAGACACTCAATGAAAAATAGGTATCAACATTTTCCTTCTAAACAGATCTCATTTCCGTATCCTCTAACATTCAAAAATCTTGTTAAAGGAGTTATGAAGAATTGTCGAAAATTGTCTTCTATTCTATTCCGCAAATTTTTATATTTATCGGATAAAATGCAAGCTACCTGAATTTTTTTTATTCAGACACTCTATTGTTATTAAGAAGATTTCCTTATCCCCAAATGACAGCTTTTTCTGCATCATTCCGTCTTCGATCGCCCTAACATTTCCCAAAAACTTTTTTTATAGTCAAAAAGATACATTTCTCTGAAAGTAACTTCTACAAGAAGAACATTCGTTTTTTGAAGTATTCTTGTGCAGTAGGGGCCATTTGGGTTTAGTCTCTCAATGTTCATACCTACTTTTTCAGCATATGAAGTGTTGAAAACCAGTCAGTTGCCAGAATTTGAACCGGAAATACAATGGTTCATCAAGATAGGTATGTGATATTGTGATATCATTATAATATCTACACTTTGTGAGCTTCAAATGCTTTAAATTCAGATACTTTGATAAATAACTGTCATACAATCATATAACTTAATGCATCATGTTTGTCATGACAAATAACATTCTTTCTTTTTGTTCAAATATTGTTTTTAGAATGAATACGTTGAAAAAAGGATTGAGCTTACATAATCTACAAATAAAATGTTTCTTTAATAAGAAATCATATACCATATTCAAATGATGCAATGTTTCACAAAAGAGCTGGAACAAGCATGAAGAATTCATTATTGCTAACCCTTGCTTGCAAAACAATCAACACCTTCTAGCACCTCAATATCTGTTAATTCAGTACTGTTAATTAAGACATAACCAGGAATCCATGGGAAAATTCTATGTTGTAATATAAATTTAAAAGACAGTTGCAGCAATGGCTTGAAAGGGTTACGAGGCACACATAGCCAATAACATATCGACGAATTTTGTGCCTACTTCAGTCTTTTGTGCTATGATGGGGTTTCACATATGTAGCTCTTTCTGCCCAATTTGGCTGAGAAGCAGTTACAATAATCGTATGTAATCACTAACAAGCTCATAGTCATAACGAAAAATCATATGATTCTATCTTTACCAAAGTCACTATCGTGTTGACAAACACACCCTTCGAATAAATGATAGCCTCTAATGCTTTTCACGACTCGGTTTCCATTTTGGTTCCCAAAATTTCTAACGCCTTTGTTAATAAAACGAGCTGTATCTGTAGCTGAGTATATTCCTTAAAATAAAAATTACAAGGTAAAATTTTCTTTGGCCTTTTTATATACCACAGTCTTTATCAGTTTTATCTTATTAAAATTTCTTTTAGTCCTTACCAGCAAACTTTGACCAAATTATAGTTTAAAAGGTTTTCAAGAATAAGCAGGATTATGTAATTGATTCAAAGTGTAATTTTTGGTCAATTTTGGCTTCGATGTTGCGTTGCTACAAGCCAGTTCAGGGTTAAGAAATATTATGGAGTAGTGAATGGATCTTGCTATCTTAAGATGCTCAATGAATAGCAAAAAGGTTTTAAGTAACCAAAGCGAAATTTGATTCTTCTCATCAACAAACTTCAGGATTCTGGTGAAATTTATTTCATTTCCACTTGGGTAGGTCTATGATTTTCATTTCTTCTTTCAAGATATCTCCAGAAGAAATAGATAAATGGGTTTGTCAGTGAGTTAAAAACAACGGCTATTCTTTCTGGAAACGTTTCTTTTTCATGAGCTACTGTCTTGATTGAAAAAGGCAACGTCAACGCGGCAAATGTGGTAGCGATCAGCACACACATGATCACTAGATTGCGGTCTTTCTTCATTGATGAAGCTGTATTGCTTTGTCGATTGTCTTGCACTCTCTGTAATCTACGGCGTTGGATTACTACCTTGTAAATGATAACGCCGTATGTGAAGATCATAAGAATAATTGTGACGTTAATCACATAGCCTAAAACAGTCCGTGTTATTTGTTGTGTTGCCTCAGTTATAAGCACTGCCATTACTGCACCAGAGCCCATCCAGATCCAAAAGATGCAATAAGTTGTGCGCGACGTTGTTACCCATATTCGATGCTTGAAGGGGAAAACAACAGCAATGCACCTGTCAGCCGTCATGTAAACGATATGAAAGCAAGATACCATGATGGAAAACCACAGTAAATAACCAGAGCCCAGCTTCAGCCATGTTCTATTGATGCGAATTTGAACTGCATGAAATACAACAAATGTTATTCCTACCAGCAAATCTGCAATCGAGAGGCTTAAAAGTATTCTCTCGTTGTTTGTCATCGATCGTCGTTTCCTTGCAAGGATCCAAATTTCAGCAGAATTTACGAAAATCGCCAAAGTGGGAACAAAGAAGAACGTGATTAGTACAATGACTTCCAAATCAGTCATTTTCTTTATTTCCGTCATCCTTACACCAGACTTCCACAACTCTTGATAAGGAATGACATTTATTCTGAAAAAGGCACTTTATTCTTCTTATGTTAGTATTGACAATGCGTTTCTGAGGCAACTGCCTAATGACTGCAATGCGGGGCCTTTTCAAGATCCCAAAGAAATAATCTAGAGCATTTTTGTTTAGAACAAGGAAATTGCAAAGAAAATACTTTATAATAAAGTAGACTTGTATCAGAAAGTAAAAAAATTGAAAACCCTAAGCTTTTGTTAAGAATTTTCAAAATAATCGTATTTGCTAAAACCGGGGAAATTTTTGAAAATTTCTTTAACCTTTCTCTTAAGACCTAAGTTTATACAGCAATATTTATAACACAAATAATGGGCTCAAAAAGTAAAATAAAAAAGTAAAAGAAAAATGGCCCTCATTCCTGCAGAATGATTCCTTTTGAGGCGATACTGTCATGCGAAAAGGAAGAGGAGAGTATAGTTGAATTGCTTTCACAGCTAAATACCTCATTTAAAATGAACGGACATATGCTCTCATGCACGTAAAACAAATATATTTGCAAACAATATGCATTTTATAAAGAATACAACTCAAAGAAGTAAAACAAATGTCAAAAACACAGTTTGCATTAGTCGTTCAAGCCGCCTTGAAAAGACTTCTTCAATCTTGTTTATCAAATAGAAATATTATTCACAAAATTGCCAAACTTCCTTTTAGATTGCAGTTAATGAGTGCTTTTATTTAAGCTTATTTACCCTCACATTTTCATTAAAAAACATCTATTTTGCCCACTTTATGAATGTTGACAGCAGAATGCACTGCAAACAGCTCATTTAGTCAGTTTTTGTGTGTATTTTTAATCATGAAGCTTTAAATGAGAGTTCTGGCAGCAATATAGTGCATTTCAGTTAATTTATTAGATCCTTCGGTAGGTTTATAAAAAAGAAAAAATATATATATTATGAATTTCTTTCTAAATCAACGTGATTTAAGTCAAAAATAAATGTCGAAAACGATATTTATTTGCACCATCATCTAGGGGATTGCACTGAATGAAACTTGAGCATTTGCTTCCTCTTTGATGTCATGGTCAATAAAAGTAAAGAGAGCGCACAAACAGCTCAGCTATCCAAAGAAAGTAAATGGCATTTAAAAGGGGCAAGCAGATCCAAGAGGAGACTGTGCCGCACTTTGCTATTGCCAATAAAATTATTACAATGTTTATTCATAATATTAAAGGATCACTTATTATGTTATCTTAGATAATCGTTCATTGATAGAAAAGCGTAAGGGCCCGTAAGCCAAATGTCATACATTTGTTAATATGGAACGTCGATTTTCTCATCTTCTTTCAAATAAAGGTCTTACATTTGCAATAAATTCCAGAAAATATTTTGATTTATGAAGTTAAGTCACGAGATGAAAATAAACCTTTTCCAATACCTTTTTCTCAATATCGTGTACTAACATGTAAACTTAAGAACTTTGGTTTTATGGACAGAGTGTCTGCTCAAAGGTGTATAACAAACGATGACGACTGCATAACAAATTGATTTAATCAAAACCACCCGGGAAAGCAATACTGAAGTTTGATCATAAATCCTACTGCAATGAAATAATTAACAGAAAACAATTATACTTTAATTAATATTTAATTTTCTCTTTCTGGCTATGTTGCTAGCAAAGGCAAGTTTGAAATAAAATTTCTTGAAGACCTTTGAAAGAAATGCATCTGTTTACGAACTTCAATAAGAAAACAGTGCTCTTGGTTTTTCATATTATTTGTTGTTTTGAAGCTTAATCAGAACACGCCATCTGCTCTTGTGCTTAAGATTATAGCTGGTAATAAAAATTAGTACTCTGTGTGATTATTTTGGAAACGGAATTTGGTTATTATTGGTTCTCTACACAGAATGGAGTTCTTTGTAAATATTGTTTTCGAATAAACCATGTTGGCGCATGCAGAACGCTCCCAAGAGGTTTTTTTCCTGACTAATGAAGAATGCTTACTGCTTATGAATCTACAGTTTCTGTTTCACGACATAGTGCCACAGTAATCAACTTAGACCACGGAGGGATGAAGTGACAGAGCATAGCTTGCTGAAGCACTTTAGAAACCATCGTTTAGCAATGGGAGTGATTTACTCGTTTGGAGAGGACATTGCCATACTACTTGTGTCTCTTGCTGTCATCGTCACAAACAGTTTCGAAATCAAGATCCTATTAGCGCGACGCAAGCATTTCGTGCCCTACGAACAGCTTTTGTTGAGCCTCTCTGTGGCTGATTTGCTTGTAGGTGCATCATGGCTTCTAGTAACTGTAATCGACCTTACAGCATCTAGTGTTCTTAGCCTAGCCGTGGAAAAGAATATTTCTATACCATATTGGTGTTCGATTCTGTTGTCAATGACGCACGTGTATATGCTGACTGCCGATCGGTTCGTTGCTGTGCTGTTTCCTTTGCGTCACAAAATACACGTCACAAACAGATTTGCTACTGTATTGATTCTATTTGCATGGTTCAGTTCAGCTGGAGTTACAGCGAGTCTTGTAATCACCATAAGTTTGGTAGGTGTCAAGTATTACCTTGCTGATTTTGCATTCAGTACGCTTTCCGGTATGATTTTGGTTTATACATTCATAATATACAAGGTTGTTATACGGCAAAAGAATGCAGCAAACGGAGCAGTTAACCACGCGTCACAACGGCAAGCTAGAGAACGCCGTTTGGTTTACGTCTGCCTTACAGTTACTGTCTCCTTTTGCATTTGCACAACGCCGCTAATGTATACGAAAGAAAACAATATGTATCAGACATTCTTTGTTGTTGACTTGGCATTGATCCTCAACTCACTTTTCAACCCATTTATCTATTATTTCTGGAAGCTTATTGAAAAACATTATAATTGACAAGAAGATGGTTTTGTTGTACTCGAAAAATAATATTATAGAAATGTCTTTGGTGTTGTTCCTCTCTCTCTGCTTCTGAATTTAAGGTCACGTCTAACTAGTGTATCAATTGTGCGATCCATCAATTTTAGATATAAGCGCAAAGAACCATTTTTAGAAAAAATGATGTCACTGCTGTACTCGCTTGTTTACCTCTTTTCGTGACATTTTTAAAACATTTTGCTTCCACGTTTGTCTACCAACCCAAGAATTACAAATCGGAGCTCCACAGGGCTCCTTCATTGATCATCGGTCCTCTATTTATTTAAACAAATCACAGTATTCTGAAATATCTAATGAAATGAACAGGAGGTGAAGGTTGAAACGAACAGGAGGTTTGGCGGTGGGGATGGGGCTGGATATTCTTACAAGATTTTCTCTGAAATTATATAAACAGATAATGCAATGATATCTATTCATCAAGCATCATAAATAATTTTGGTCAGTAATTATAGAATAAAAATTTGCTAAAAGGCTTTCAGAATGATGTGAATAAGATTCTGCAAACCATCTCTAAGCACATAATAAGAACATAATGGGTTTCAGATTGTAGTACTGAACGTAAATGTTTGCAAATGAAATGAAAAATTTGTTTGCGAAAAATACTCTGAACGACTTTGTGAACTCCAACTAAATAAGCAAAAAAGCAATTTCAATCATTAGGAGAAACTCTACGGGGCTAGATTAGCATCGGGCCTGGAAAAACACGAAATTGTTGAAGGTAACACGTTTATGCTTTTGGAAAAGTCTTATAATCTGTTCAATTTCGTATATAGGCGATTTTTGGCACATGAGTATCACTACATAGATTCCAGTTCTTCACTTCCAAAGAATCTGTCCTGTAACAGATCAACTTGCGACCAGCAAAATCAAGATCAGAACCAAGAAACCTTTCGAACATATTATTCTTCTTCTGACGTCACATGCGACAAGCATCTGGATTTAAATTTCTCCTCATATTCAAGTTTTATTTGACGTCTTATACTCATTACTTTTGTATTTTTTTCATGCTTATTTGAACGAGACTTGATTTTCAAACTTTAAAGCAATTATCCTCAAAAAATTAATAGCTGTTAAAACCGATTCCAGTTAAAAATTTATTTACATGCCAATCTTTGAATAGTAAATAATTGTCTAATACAAGGAAAATATTGAATCAATAGTGGAACAAATTAAATTAAGATATTGACCGTATTATTAAAATGTTCAAAGGAAAATTTCCGATAAAATAAAGCTAGCCTCTAATTAACAAATTTCAAGGATAAACGACTGATGTAGTTTTGCATCTTCTAGCTAATAATGTCTAAGTTTCTATATAGAACTTTATTTTTCTCATTTGTCTAGTTTGGGGTCCTAGTTCTACTAGGGTCTTACCTACTACAAAAGAGTTGTTAGAACTATTGCCCTCAAGCACTTCAAATCTCCATCTACACCAATTTTTTCTGAGTTAAAATTCATAAAGCTGCTTACGTTTCTTTACTAATCTGTTTATATGATTTCTTCTTTCTTTAATGATTTTTTTGAAACGTTGATATCTGTTCATCAGTATGATATGATAAAGATAGAAAGATGCAAGGCAAACCTTCATTGCTGATTATTTTATGGCTCAAGAAAGCAACCTGCTATGAGGTTTTGAGATCTACTAGATACGCAGGTGTCAAGTATTAGAAAAAGTATTCCCTGTGTCATCAAACAATGAGAAATTTTTGATTAACATTCAAATTGCGTCTGTTCTCCATTAGATAACAACAGTAGACTTTTTGTACAGACCTTCAGAACTATGTCACCGTGGGCAGCTTTATGCAGGGCTGTGGGGTGGATGGGAATGGCTGTTATGCGGTATTCGCTCTTTTCTTTTCGGAGGGAGCGGAGGTTGTGTAGCAGTTGTTTTCGTTGATCCTGTGGCTTCATGCTGGGCAGCATGTGGTGTAATCACTCAATTAGTAGGTAGGCTTTTATTACAGAGGTCGCTCTCTCCTCGATTGTTTTATCTATTGAGAGAGCTCCTTCTTTAAAAATCCCTGCATGCAAATCTCCTTGGTTTTTCACAATCATTTATATGACGTTGCATTATTTTATCCCCATTTTCTTCATTGTGTGGAATTTAAACCATAGGTTATCCGTTGTTTTTTGTTGCAAAGATCGGTATGAATTGGAATTTAAAATGAAATGAATAGAAACAGATCAAATGGAACGAATCCCCCCTGAAATATATATCTCATATTTTGAGCTCGGACAAATATGTGATCACATGCAAAATCCGATGACCCATCCCTATTGGCTAATTATTGATAACCCGCCCACATCTCAGACCCGAGACGGCTCAAGAATATTGACATAAAATCATAAGGCGTGCTTTATAAGAGGGAGCCGTGATGCCTAACGCTGTATTGTCGTCTTCAGCGCTCTACGTCACATAAAGAGATTATTAGTATATGTAAATCGATTAGGAAAAGGCTATGGTTTCTAGCAATCACCTAACGGAGCTGATTCTCACATCTGCCATTATCCTTGTCAATGTTCCTGAGATAATTCTAATTGCTAAAGCCAAAAAGAGCTTGTCGCTGTTCCACTTCCTTCTTTTAAGTCTGGCTGTGACTGATCTTCTTGTTGGGCTGTCACAACTTTCTATAACGGTTTCTGAAGTGCACGGTATCAAGAGGAAAAGGCTTAAACTGAACAGCATCCTATATTTTACCGTTGCAGCATCTGTGAATCATGTCAACGCGATAACTGTTGATCGTTTCCTCGCCATCATCTGGCCTCTGAAACATAAGTATCTAGTCTCACGAAGACGCATAGCCATCTACATTGCGATTACTTGGTGCATCAGCATTCTGACACTTATGCCATTGTTTGTTGCTGACAGCATGGATTACGTAAGACGGATACTCAGCATCATCATGTATGCATACAGTGGTGTTATGATCTTCGTTTACTCATTTATCATCTATCGGGTCGTCGTAGTTCGTGGTAGGGCCATTAGCATAGCCGCACAACAAGACAACGCAACACAAGCAAGTAAAGATGTGCAGCTTGTTGTCGTTTCAGTCGTCCTTACGATAACCTTCATGATTTGCACGATTCCGTTTTGTGTTTTTGCGTTTATCACAGAAAGTGTCCCAAAACCAATCAAATACTTGCTGCTATCAAATTCACTTTGCAACCCTTTCGTCTACTTTTTCTGGAAGCTTCTACAAGCAAAATTCAAGTCCCCCACGCCTACCACGACGCAAATGCAAATGACAAAGTCAACATAATTTCCTTTAACTGGCTTCCAAGTAAAACGTCATTTATGACAACCTCTTCAAGTGTCAAAATTGGACAGAAAAAAAGACTTGCTTGAATAACGCACAAATATATTGATCTTGATTGTGAAAACATGAAAGACCCCAGAACAGTATTCTCGGTATTTAGTGTTATGTCTGTTAGACAATGAGTGTCTGCAAAACAGCATTCTCTTGTAAAATTAAATGACTATTTGACAACTTTTGAATATTTTGCTGTTATCAGAAGCAATTCTTATTGCGATTTCTTTAGATTGTGCCTGATTGATTTAACTTCTAATCTAAACTAGAAGGCAATAGTAAATTTTTCTGATTGAACAATATTTAGAACGGATTATTGTTATATTCTATTTAAGTATCAGCTGTAAACATGAGTTTAGCAACTTTGATTAATGCTTTAATGAATGCACAAATGCTTTTCAAAGCAATAAACATATGTCGTCTTTCTCTGATTCAGTTCCGGTCACTTATTTTAGAATTGGACGATAATTCGTATCTTTACCTCATTACGTTTTTGTCTTTGAGGAAATGGACGGTAAAAATTCAAAAAAAGGTCTGAAACAAATTTTTCCGGAATTATTCTGGTTCAGTGAACGTGAAGCTGTGACCATTTACCTGTACATTGCTTTTTTCAAAGATTGTCACAGAATCATAACGAAGCGTAACTTTAACAACAACAAAGTGTTAAGAACCCAAGGTAAAACATACATTAAGTACCAAAAAATCTGGTACAAAAAATTCAATGGATTAACTTCGATTATATTTTTGAAATTTCGGTGTAAATTTCGGTGAGAGTAGAATGAAAAAGCTTCGGTAAGTAAAGTAATGAAACAAGTAAAGCAAAGTTATTTTTATCTTCAACATAAAATTATCTGGAAGGCAATCTTAAAAGTTACAAGAAAATTTTGATGTCAGCCCAATAAATGGAACTGATTGATTGTCAAAGCCAGATTGTCAAAAACTCTTATTTAAAGGAGGTATTTTTTATTTCATTTCTTGTTTTCGATCGTCAATGTTATCCGATCACGAGGGATATGATATTATGATCGATTTTGTGTTAAAAAATGAGGCGTCCAAATTGAAACCGCTGGAACGTTAGAAAGAAATAACTAAGAGAAATAATGAAGGGCAAGGAGAAGCATCAGTTTAGCCTATTAAGAGAACTTGGATAAAGAGACCGAAAGAAAAGAAAGAGAAGTTGAGCTTGGTTGATGACGAGGGAGAATAAGAAACTGAAAATTGATAACAAAATTGAAGGAAAACAATGCTTTTTTGGATGCCCATCGGTGTGAAACGAGATTTTGCTTTTGTTTGAAAATTTCGGTTTCAAAATATTTCAGTTTTGAAAAAATTCGGTGAAATTAATTTTCAGTTGCCCTGCTTCACCGAAATAAATTCCACCGGTACTTAATGTATACGACAGGCGAGAGGGGAGGTATGGCGAGTGAATGTGCATTCTACAGAAAAACACTGGCGACTGAAGAAAGGCATGATCAAGGCACTTAGTTGTGTGATTGGTTATGGCCCCATCACACCTTACAAATTTAGAGACTGTTACAATTCACTAACACGTTTCTGAAAAGACTCATGCTTAATAATAATCATATTGTTAACTGCCTACAGACATTTGAATTCTACCTTAGCCGCAAATGGTAAAAGCACAAATGCGATTCAAAGAATGATATGAAATTAGCAAGTTTCAGAAATATTGTGTGATGAAGTTGGTTTTGTTTTGTTTTGTTTTGTTTTGTTTTGTTTTGTTTTGTTTTGTTTTGTTTTGTTTTGTTTTGTTTTGTTTTGTTTTGTTTTGTTTTATGCTGTGTTGTGTTGTAGCATTAGTAAAGTATTTTATAAGCTGCTCTGTGCCGATGCAATCTGCTACAATCGAGGAAAAGACAATCTACTTGACTCTGCTACATAAAATTGACAAATTGTTCACATTAGTTATTGCCTTATTACAGCATGGAACTTGGGGCTCAGCTGCCAAGACAGTCATAAAGAAATGTTCAGTTATTTTGTGCTATGCTTTGAGGTGAGCTTTACATTGCTAATATAATGCTTGAGAATTTTGTGTCAAGTTGATAGTTAATCTATTTTGATCTATAAAGAGTATAAATCTTATTATACTAAACCAGAGGTACTCAGACGCATTTGCTGCTAATTTACAACAAAAGCAAAACTAAGGATCTTCGAAAAACTTCCCATTTATCTCCTAAAGATGCCCTTTCTTGAAGCTGTGTGAGAATCCTATCTCCTTGCTAACTTTTCCTATTGTGGTGAGTCTTACAAGTTGCAATGCTGTTTTTCATTTGTCTTTAAATAAGACAGACCATAGAGGACCATATGACCAAAAATACGTAACAGGATTAACTGTTTTTTGGCTTGGTCAATAAATTTTAGTACCAAGACAAAATTGTAGTGATTTAGTAAGAAAGAAAATAATAGGTTCATGTAGCTGTATCTCGCGAAGCGTCTTCATAAATGTGGTTTTTCAAAAAAGTTTAGTGAGATTATATCATGAAGCATTGTGGTTCCATCACTTGGACATGAGAGAACAGTACAGTACATAGACCTGTCTACTAGCATAGTCAACCTAGCTACAAAAGAGCGATTTGTTATTCTGTTCCAGCTTTCACAACTGATTCCAACAAAATGTAACAAAGTCCAACAACGAACGTGTTTACTGATGGCTTCTGCAGCAGGCATTGAAACTTCGAAAAATGCAACAGATGAAAATGAAAAGGTCTGTAGTCTTCTTTTGTATTCACACTTCAATCAAAGAATACTCTTTGCTGCCATGTCGATAGAATTCTTTCTTCGTGAAATGATTGCTCTTTTTTATATAACAATAAAGATTTACAAACACTGGTAAATTTTTCTGTCAGACAACATCAATTTTAATTCTGGTACAGTAGTAGATAACCGCTTGGTCTTTGATTATTCAAATGAAAGCAAGAACTGCTTCTTTTTATCTTGCATAACAATAATTAATAGGTTTTGTAAACCAGCATCCTCAATGTGCATGTAGATAAAATAACTAAGTACACGCTGAATCTTCATTTCCAATTTGTCTTCTCCACACCTGGTCTTCTTCAAAGGTTCAAAAGGAAAGAAACAGGCGATAGAACTTGCCGTGTAACAGCGGAAATGCAAAATCTTTTTTAGATGCGCATACTGAATGATGTTGTTTCTTACATTCAAAAATGCGAACGAATATACCAGGAAAGCGTTCAAGATCAGCCCCAAAGTGGTGTGTAGATCATGCATATATCAGCATTTATTCATGCAACTATTCTTCGTTTACATCCAAACATACTCCCGTGCCATAGAAAGCTTTCTCTGTATACAGAATGTCCAAGGGAGGGTCATGTACTTTAGTAAGAAGAAGAAAAGTAACTGGAATCCAGACAAATAGACACGCTTCGTTTAAGTCTGGCTTATTTTCGTTGTTGTAAGAAGGCAAGGTCTATCTGAGTAAAGAATGTATCAGTTGTTTGTACATGCATCTATAATTCTTTAAATATACATTACTGAGGAAGGTTCACGACCAAATCGTCTGATAATTATTTTCAAGGCTATAAAATTGAATTTATAGCCATAATCTTTTGCATCTGATTATAATTGTTGTACTGGTCAACAAATATTGTTAGTTCAGATCTTTTATGCATTTCTCAAAACCACTTTTAGGGAAGACAGATCTCACCTTGCCAATGTTGATCTGCCTTGAATTCGAAGCAAAAGCAAGACTAGGTTACAAAAGCACTGAAACAATCATTGACAAGGCTAAAGATCTACACAGCATTGATGCCAAAACGTTCGAGACTATTGCAGGCAAGCAATTTTATAATAACTGTCGGGCAGACAGAGTTTTTTCACACCAGTATTGTATATCTTGTTAATATCAGTAATAGCAAATAATGTTTATGAAAATGATATGAAAATACAGAAAACGATAGGGAAAAAACACGAGTGCACGTTATTCTAAATTTGAAAGATAATCAGCTTGAAGATTTGTAAAAAGGAAAGATAAAACAGCATATTAACTGACACAAAAGAAAGAAGGCAGTTGAGCACAATCTTTCGAAAGAAGGACTCAGAAAAAAGCCTTAGACCATTTAAATGTATCGACCAATGTAAATGATGCAAAGAAAGATAGCATAAAAAATACAGAAAAAAAATATGTTGCAAAATAATAAAATGATTATTTTTCCTTACAGCAACTGCTTTAGAAATCTCACCCAAGCATAATCCGGAAGGGATCAAAGCGCTAAAAATGGCTATCAAGTGTCATCTTGAAGACCAAAGAACTGACTATTTACAACTTAGGTAATAAGTTTTTAAAAAATCTGTCAATTTAAAAAATCATATGTATAGCAAATTATATTTTGTATGCTTTCACACGCCCAGTTAGCACGCTCTTGTAGTAGCTGACTATTTTGAGGCTTGTCCTGACATTATAGGGCAGAGGTCTTAAGCTAAATTGAATCTCACCGCAGAGCAAATCACAGCCCCAGAAATTTTAAATTAACTCAGGCCAAGGTAGATATAGACATATCTACCACCATGCATTTGAACAACTGCTTTGAGTCTTGGTTTAACAGTTTGTACAAAACGTACATGGCTGTAATACATTAACAGAAGACTTACTTTCGGATACGTCTGATTTCGAGACGTAGTTTAGATTAATGATGAAAGTTGTTAAAAACTCACAGCTTATGTCTCAATTAAAAAATTTTCTAATGACAAAAATTCATACAAAATATCGGTCATCAAGTCGTAACATCTCTACCACGTATACTGAAAACTTTGCTGGAACCATATAGATAAACGGTACTAAGACTCAAAATCTCAAAGTTTCAAATGAAGTTTGACTGAATTATTTTGATTGGTTACTATTCGCATCTTTACTGAAATAGTCAAACGTAGAAATACAAAGATAATTGTATCATGCCAAAAGCATGTTTAAGCTCTTTTTAATCAAGTAATTGAAAGTGCCAAAATTCCCTGAAACGTTACTCCTATAATATGAATTAAAATAATATGATTATTTTTCATTATCAATATGTCTTCGGATTTTAAGATTTTTAGAACTTCACAAGTAAAAACGTCACATTAAATCTGAAGAAATCATCATGAATTTTCCTTTTTTGTGAGTGACATTTCACAAAGATAGAGCCGTGCCTAGCTTAGATAAATTCGTGAATTATTTGCTCTTGTTCGAATTGCAGTAAAGATTTACACACACTGGTCAATATTTCTATCAATGAAGGTGGAAATAGCAACCCTCAGAGCAAAGAGGAGACTTACCAATACTACCAAAACATTTTGGAAATCATTCAGAAAGCTCCCAAGGTAAAACTTCTATGAGCAAAATGGCCTTCGTTCAAAAGTTACGCAAAGAACATACAAATTGCCAGACACTTCAAAGAAAAGACTTGTACTTGGTAAAAACTGTGGCCTAAAACTACGTACATACCTCTAGGTATTCTCTTTTAGCCTTTCAGACTTGCAATCTTTCCCACTTCACCTCACAGCTGGTTTACGTTATTCGATGGCCCTGTAGATAAAGATATAAGATAATTCAATGAACACAAGCATTTGAGGTTCAAGTTCAGTTCTCAATCAAAAGTAAAATATAAAGGCTAACTTGATTAACATGCATTGATTTCTAACCATTTTCAAATTCCCTCCGTAGAATTCGTATCCAGAAATGGAAATTCTTTGGCTTATGACAAAAGCATGGAACTGTGGAGTACATCTTTTCAGGTAATTTTGTCTCCTTTCAGTTTTCGAATTTTGGCCACAGAGACGTGCGCAATTCAGTATACATGCTAAAGAATAAAAGTAGAACACTTTAGTATGAGAGAATTTGCTTTTTGTACAATAAGGAGTCGAAGTAGTTAAATTTCTTCCTCAATTAAATTCAAATTCAAGCTTTGAATTATAATATACTAATAGTAATAATAAAGATATGTTGAATTAATTAAGCTTAGGACACTTGGAAAAAACTCAAAAGAGCTATCGAGCCAAGTGCCCTTCCTTAATTAAACAACAATTTTTAATACAAATGAACTGAATTGGCTACTTGTTGTTAATTGAAAGAGACTGCAAAAGTTTTCATCTGGGATGTTATTACTAATATTTTGCATAAATTCAGCACATTCTATTTTATACCAGTCGTTAAAAAGTGGTTGACTTTGAGATGTTTTCGACTGAAATTCAATCAAACTCACAGCACGTGTCATGCTTTTTCTTAGAGGATTTAATACAGACTTGTATGTTCCTCCCCAATTTACAGTACCATGATTAATATGCGGCTGTATGAATGCATTATATATATAAACAAGGATAACTTTTGGGACATGGTGCCTAAGACGAGCTGACATACCAATGTCTTCTAATATAAGATCTTAGAAATAAGCCTTTTTTGCTTGCAAGTTTCATTGTTAGTAACCTGCTTCTTATAATATTAGCGCACACGAATTTGACGCATGCGAACGATGGTGTGGCATGGCTATGAAATTTCTGGACCAGCTTGATACTTTAAAATCCAACTATACATCACATGTAAGTATATATGGCATATTGTAATTTTTTATCCTGTTATACCCAAGGCAAGTTAGAAAAATTAAGACTGCCGGTAACTATGAATGAATCACTGGTGCTGAAAGGTGCGACAAAGATGCTCAATTTGCGCCTTGTGACTTTTCTTTCTAAAAGCGAATACCATTTTTGTTTAAGTTCTAAGTGTGGACGGGAGAAATCTTTTTGCGATAAAAACTAGACCGATTGACAGAAATTTCATTATGTTTTCCAGTACCAGAAGCTGATACAACCTTTTTTATTGACTTGTATCTGCTATTAATTGGAATTCTCAGAAGAGATTGTGGAATGAAATGAGATAATTAGCCTCACAAAGAATTTTATCTCTCTTAACTTCTTTGATTGGATTTTGATTAATTTGATATTTTAGTAAATCAAACCTTAATTTCTAGATATCAAATTTACCTATCCCAGCCAAAACCCAGTTTAAGTGACAGAAAATCCTCTTAAAATTTATTCTTTGTTAAGATGACATCCGTATTTGCTGAAATATTGGAAAAGAGAGAACGCACATCTATTCGCAGCCAAGTTGAAGAATGAAAACAAAGCACTTAGATTCTTCAATCCGGGGAGATTCATTAACCTTGTTTAAATATAAACCATTCTGAATTTGTGGTTAGATTCAAAGAAGTTTATCTTAATGTTGTTGCAGCCATTTGATTTACTTCGTTTGCTGTAAGAACTGTTGCATCAAATGAATTGCTCCCGTCCTTTCACAACTTCTTGTAGTTCTGCGTTCTTGTATCCGTTTGAACCACGGTCACAAAGACACATAAAGGATTGAGAATGACCAAAAAAATATTCAAGATGTTGGGTAGCCTTTGGCAACTTTAATCAAATTCCCGTTTTGCAGGCTTACGTTGATATTTATACTAAAAGTATAGGTTGATATTTACTGTATTTATGTGACAGTGGCAGTGGCGTAACCGCGATTTTCATTTTGGGTAGGGGGAGCCTGTTTCCTTAATTAATCCTCATTTGCAGCTTTAAGATGTTCACTTCATTAGGTTTTTGGAGGAGCTCATTTAATTGTAACTCGTACTGCAATCAAGTCATTTGTAAGCAAATTGTAATCAGTAACCAGGTTGATTTTTTTCAAAAGGATAATTTTAAGTTAGTTAGAACTTATGTAAACTTCATATAACACAATATCAGGATAACGGCAAGAGCCGTAATGAAAAGAAAGCTTGTGATCATTAGAACATTTAGAGGTAGCAGGTTGGACAATAGCCAAGTATCCCTAGGGCCGGGGAAACCAGGGAGCGAGGGAGGGGGGCATGGCCCCTGTACTTTTCTCCAGAGCCTAATCAAATTTTTAGACAAAAGTAGAAGAAATCTGGTCTACCATTCTGTAAGTTATAGTGCTAAGTAATCTCTTAAATATGACCTAAGCTCAAGCTTCGTAACTATGTTTTTACTAAAGGAAACATTTGTAAAATTGAAGATGGGAATTTGATATAAAAAATCGGTCATTGTCCAAGTTGTACAACGAGTAACAGCTTGACTTAGGCAATAGATTAAGAAACCTGATCTAAAATGAACTTGGTGCCAAAACCAAACGATGGAGTCTTGTTTTTTATAGCCTAAACTGTCTCTTTGTTGACGGAAAGTTTCTCAAAGACGTTACAAAAGTGAGAATATGAGAAATGAAGGTTTAGCAGATTTTCCCTTTGAAAATATCATTGGAAAAGTTTCAAAGTTTGATTTTTTCAATAATCCATTTCTACTAAAATAGAGAAGATCTAGACCTAATAACAACTTCTTTCAAAACTCGTTTTGACCAGCCCATTTTGAAAGTTTTGAAGCTCAGAGTATTTTTTGCCGCATAATATTTTATTATCAGTGCTGCTGTTAATATTTCAATGCTAATGTTATTTGTTAAACCGTGATTCATTTATTTTTCTCCTCCATCTCATTTTGTTGCCTTTTTAAATCTAATAAGGCTTGATTACGAGTTACAATCAAAAGGTTATTGCCAGGGATTTCCTATTACATGTCAACATTACAATGAACGAAACTGTGCGACATAGTGATAAAAGAAAGTATCAAAATATTTCCTCGGATTTTCCCTCAGCCAAAATCCACTTTTAAATACAGCTTCTGGTCATCCCTAAGATACCATATTTCGATTTTTCTTTTCCTAAAGGCCTTTCCTAAAGATCATTTGCAGATGTACTTTGTTGTCTTCTTTGCATTAGCACATCTTACTATGGCTCTTTACCTCGTAAGAGCTCTTCGAAAAATGGCTTTCATTTTATCTAAATCTGAGATTGTTAGTGAATGGAAGATTTTATAACAGCAAAATCTAACTGGCTTCCTTTGCTGCTATTGACTGTGAAAACTTAAAGGTATTGGTTTACAATGCTTCTGGTCTGTAAATACCGACAATATAATCTCATACAGCTAGCAGCCAGTAGCGTAGCCTGGGTGGTAAGATTTGGGTGGGGGGGGGGGCAATGATGAGTTGGACAGAGGTAAATGGGGTCCACATATTTTTGAAGACCAGAAAACCTGCCACCTCCCACTACGCTATGGAGTTACCTGAAATTGAAGAATCTGTTTCTCCACACTTAATAAAATATTCTCTAATTGTTATTCCGAAACGGCTTCTATCCCATACGCTAATTAGCTGAAAAAACGTAAATCTAATTGAAAAAGCACCTTTCTTACAGCAAATAGGTGCTTCCTATCAAGTAAATATAAAAATGAATTAGAGCACTATTAAGCCGGTAATTTACAATTTTGGTCGCTTTATTAAAACATTCACCGAAACATTATGAAAAACATATGGTTCTTCGTCCTTTAATCAGTCTTTAATTAAAATCTATGGAAATAAATATACTGGTATTGACAACAATGGACCCATGCAGCTCTTAAATCAAAACTGACCACGACGCAAAAGCACAGATCATGCTAACCATATCGATGAGCATCGCATATAATTTAAAGGGACTCTTCACCACGTGACGTGAATTTGTAATCCATTAGAAGATAGGAAGTACACGGAAAAGATATCAGAGAGGGACTATGGTTTCTAGCAATCATCTAACGGAGCTGCTTATCACATCTGTCATTATCCTTGTCAATGGTCCTGAAATAATTCTAATTTTAAAAGCTAAAAAGAGCTTGTCGCTATTCCAGGTCCTTCTTCTAAGCCTGGCTGTGACAGATCTTCTCGTTGGGCTGTTGCAATTTATTCTAACGGTTCTTCAATTATACGATGTTGAAATTAAAAGCTTTAAACTGAACAGCATTTTGTATTTTACCATTGCAGCATCTGTGAATCACGTCAATGCGATAACTGCTGATCGATTCATAGCAATCCGCTGGCCTTTGAAACATAGGCATCTAGTTTCTCGAAGGCGCATAGCCATCTACATTGCGATTACTTGGTGCATCAGCATTGTAATGTTAATGCCACTGTTCATTAGAAACAGCATGGAATACGTAAAGTATATACTCAGCATCGTCATGTTTGCATACAGTGGCGTCATGGTCTTCGTATACTCATTTATCATCTATCGGGTCGTTGTAGTTCGTGGTAGGGTCATTAGCATAGCCGCACAACAAGACAACGCAACACAAGCAAGTAAAGATGTGCAGCTTGTTGTCGTTTCAGTCGTCCTTACGATAACCTTTATGATTTGCACGGTTCCTTTTTGTGTTTGTGCGTTTATCACAAACCATTCCCCCAAAACAGTAAAATACTTGTTGCTATCCAATTCATTATGCAACCCTTGCATCTATTTTTTCTGGAAACTGCTTCAAGCAAGATTCAAGACACCCAGGCCTACAACGATGCAAATGCAAAAGGGTATGCCACCGTGATTTTTTTATTTGGCTTTCAAGTAAGATGTTATTATTCATGACCACCCTTTTCAGGTACCACAATGGGACAGAGAAAGAGACATTTTTGAATCACATATAGATTGTTCTTGATTGTGAAAAATGAAGCATCTGAAAACAGTCTTCTCAGTGCTAAGGTTATGCTATACTTCTTTTGTAGCATGTAGCATGTAGCAAGTTTCTGCAAAAGCCCTTACCTTGCTATAAAGAGACAAGCAGAAGCTTACAGTTTTTTCTTGTAAATTTTATTTTACAGTATTATTGGTTAAACTAAAGTAGTGGAAACATCAATTATATTTTTCGTAGTACAAAATAAGAATATATTATCATCGTGCTGCATTCATATAACCAACGTTATTGATTCAACAGCAGTGAACATCAGTTTCAGTGTATTTTCAATCTGTTATATGTCATGAAAAATTCACTAGCGAAACTTGTTCCATTTTCAATACAGGATTTCACTATCTTTAAACGGTTTTTTTGTTTTTTTGTATAGGAGGAGACTAAGATTGGATTAAAATTGAGTTCTAATTTTTTTATGCAAAAAATACAGTTTGATGTCTGTGTCTGCTATTCGTAGCATTAACTGTCAATCTGATTAACTCAACTAACAATAAAGAATTATCTAGGTAGTAAGAGTGATATTTTTCTTCTTTTCCAAAGAATGTTGACAAAATCTTTCTTGATAAGCATCGGCACTAAAGTAGTAGAGGGCTTGGTTTGGTTCGTATGTGAGCTGTAGAAACAATTCTTCTTTGTTAACAGTTATTGTTCTAACGAAATTTGCGTTACTTGTCGTGTTCCACAGGGATCTGTTACCAGTCCTCTCCTTTTGCTTGATTGCATTAATAGTATTCCAAAAAGTTTTATCTAAGTTATCTGATTATTTTTGCCGATTCCACTAACATCTTATTGGGTGAGAACGTTGTGACGCACTTCCAACGTTGATAAATGTTGAATCCAGAATGTTTAAGGGCAGTCTGTCCCCTATTGTCCCCTAAACGATTTAAACCAATCAGAGACAACTTTGATTCAAGAGCTTTTGAATCAAATAGCTGTGTTCCGTTGAAGTGAAGCTGTGGCTAGAAAAATGTTGTTCCCTTTTTGGTTTGTGCGACAGCTATGCCAACAGCGAAAGGAAATGCTTATCACCATTCAATTCCAGTAATTAAATCTTCTTGCCATTTCCAATGGCTTTTTGCTCGCAGTTTCAAATGTTTTGATAGTTCGTACCTTTATCTTCAATTGAGAACTATTAACAAAAAAATATATTAAAACGATCTCACCTGTTGATGTGTTGAGAAGACGCGTAGAGAAAAATCGAGTTCTGTTTGCTTCAATTCAAGATTCCCTTACTAACTTACTCTACGATTATTTATACCTTAACTCTAAAAAAAAATCTGCTGACGAAGGATGTGTGAGTATGGTGTAATGATGATGTGATGTGATGTAATGGAGATGGAAAGTTCTAGATTGAGAAACGAGAGAGGCTGAATAAGCATGACGCATTGTAGCAATGTAAAGCTGAAAGAAACAGTTTAAATTAGCAGCACTATAAAATGAGTAAATACTTTATCGCTACAATGTCATCCACTACCGCTGCTAGGCCACTCCCGCTGCTAGGCTAATTCTAATTCACAGGGGCAAGGTAAAGTAGAAAATTACAAAAATTGCATTTTATCTCAACATTTTTGTCCGGGATTGTAGGATGGCTATGGTGCGATTCAATACTATGTAGCAATACTATGTGAATTGAAAACATACCTAGAATACACTGAAACTACGTGTTCCAAGTACTTTAGGCATTTAGGCAAGCTTAATTTTTCCTTCAACTCGAAATCATATAAAGGTTGCACATCAAACATAGAAGGTAAAAAGTAATAGATAAAGATCTTAGGCATTCTAGGCCGCTCTTCAGAAACTGATCAAAATATTTGGTTTATTCTTGAATGTTCTTCTTCCTCTAATGTATAAATGTTTTTGTATTCTTGTGGCAGTGTTTTTAAGGAACATCAAGACGAGATCAAAGGTTTTTTAGAGAAGGATATGGTATGAAGTTGAAATGGTTGTGTGGGGTTGTTTCTATCAGGTTATCAACTGCACAACCGTTATCAAAAGAACTATAACGCCAAAGGAATCCGGAGAACACTCAGCTTTTCCCGTCATCAACTCTGACAAAAATAGCAAGTTTAAGATTCCACGGCCTCCAATTTTGACTGAAACAGCAAGCCATTCACGAAGGTAGTTAATCGCTAGGCAAGCTGAACAATGTGTTACTCTTTCAATACGAAAAAACTCCAGACATCTCAAAAGCCCCTGTATTCAACTCATCACATCTGAAAAATGATTTATTTATTTATGGAAAATTGATTTGATTCTAGCCTGACTTTACTTCTGTCCTTCATTGTGCTTCATACATTTTCAATCTTTGGCCCCTGATCGTCACGCTTTTTCTTGCCAATATATCGTAATGTTTCTCCACACAATTTTTTTAACTAACTTCCCAATTAACTGAAAGCTATTGATTCTGGTAGGCAATATATGAGTTCATCTTATTCCTGATATTTTTATAAAGAAAGCTAGCGGTGCGATTGAAGTTGAATTACCTGAAATTAAAGAGCCCTTTCTTCGATATTTCAATAATATATTCTCATATTCTTGATTCTCAAGTTCTTGAAAAGAAAGAAGATTCCAAACCCTCTGGGTTTACACCCTTAAAAGCGGTTGATTAGGCTTGCTCTTAAATCAAAATACAGCTGCTATTACATTCGATAATTAGCCTCTTGTTAGTCAAATCCCGTGCAATCATTCTGTGTAAGAACTGTTTTTAATTAAAATCTAATTAACTAAGCAACCTTTTTACAGCAATTGGAGTTTCGTATCACGCAGAAACTTAATCAAAAACATCATTATTGATTAAAACCCTGACTTATTGGTCGTTTGTTGAGACTTTCATCCAAACATCGATGATGAACTCTGGCTCTTCCTCTTTTATTTATTCTCTAATTAAAATTTATTGAAAGAATTCTGCGATTAATGAAAACAATGGACGCACGTTGTTCTTAAATCGCAATTTATTACGTAAAAGCACAGTCTTCCAGATCATACTGATGATCCTTTCAAGTAATCTGATGATTTCTTCAACACGTGACTGATAATTTGGACAGACCGGAGAGGTTTACCGTGGCAAATCATTCTTCAACAAGCCCTAAAGCATACAACAAGATTCAAAAAGAGACTATGAATGCTAACGAATTTCCAATTACATTGATTCTCGCATCTGCCATTATTCTTGTCAACGTTGCTGAAATAATTCTAATCTTTAAAGCAAAAAAGAATTGCTCGTTATTTCAGCGCCTCCTTCTAAGCCTCGCTGTCGCCGATCTTCTCGTTGGATTGTCACAATTGACATTACCAATTGCATTGCCTGAAACTAAAATTAAACAATATAAACTTGACGGTGTTCTATGCTTTACCATTGCTGCCTCCGTGAATCACGTCAACGCGATAACTGTGGATCGCTTTCTGGCAATCTGCTGGCCTTTGAAACATCGGTACTTGATTTCAAGAAAACGAATCTTGATCATCATTGCTGTTACTTGGTGCATCAGCTTCGTGATGTTAACGCCGCGGATTGTCGGCGATAACTTTAATCATGTAAGGTATATCTTCAGTATAGCCACGCTTGCATACAGTTGTGCTATGATCTTTTTCTATTCTTTCATTATATACCGAGTCGTTGTAATACGTCGTAAGGGGATTATCAAAACAGCAAAGGGAGTAACAAATGCAGCACAGGCAAGCAAAGACGTGCAGCTCGTTGTCGTATCGGTGACTCTAACGACAACATTTCTGCTTTGCACAATTCCGTTTTGCGTTTTCACATTTATCACAGAAAGTATCCCACCACCAGCGAAATACTTGCTGTTATCTAATTCATTATGCAATCCTATCGTCTACTTTTTCTGGAAATTTCTGCAATCAAAATCAAAGATTCTCAAGCCAGCAATGTCTCAAACACAAGTGATCAATTCATCATGAAAATAGCTTACTGGCCTCCAAGCAAAGACGTTTTATCTATGATTATCTTCTTCACGTACCAGAATGGGACATAAAAAGGACATTGTTTCAAGCACAACCAATCATATGTATTTATAGTTTAAACCGGAAAAACTCACGAATTGTAATTCGTAGTAGTCTTTTTGCTGTAAACTTCTGCAAACTGGCCTAAACTAGTTTGCAGCTAGTTCCCAAAGCTTCTGTTTTCAAGAAAGATAATTCTAACTACAGGTATCTGTATTTTCTATACAATCATTTAATAGAAACTCAACATTTGGTTTTACTTTTTTCTTAGTCAATTGATCCAAGTCATTTTCCTAGTCAAGTTTCATATTCATCTTGATCTATGACATAACGTCATAAATAATCGTAGAAAAAAATATCTTTTCACTTCTTGTTTATCTCCTTGAAATAGTTATTGCCATTTTTCATTATAATTTAAGGCACGTTTTTAATAATTTATAATGGTTTAGGCTACTGTGACCTTCAACTTACAAGACTTCGAAGCTGTGGCCTTTAACTTAGCAGACTTCGAGGGTTTTTGGCATTGTTTGGGAAACGGCCAAGAGAAAGTCATCTAATGATTGAGGCAACACTTCTTTTGGATCAAAGAAAATGTGCATTGAACTCAAACAATATTACTCATAGCCTCTCTTCTCTTCATCTCCACAACAAAGTAGCAAAATGTTGAGAAGAACATTTAAATCTATATATATGATAATATCTATATACAACATATATTACAGTCATTAGTTTTAATTGTCAAAATCCTAAAACCCCTTATCAGGATTATATCACATTGTGTATTTCTCTGCTTCTAGATTTATCTTGTAGTTTATTCTTAGTAATATATTATGCTTAGTTATGCTATTCTCGTACTTTCCTTGTACATATAAATATACGTAGTTAGTTAGATTCAAGATATTAGGAAGGAGGTTCATAGAGATCAGACATGAAATGCTAAACGGTCGAAGGTAGCTAAAAGGCTTGTGAAAGCTCTTGCAGCCAAGTTTGTACTTAGGACAGGCAGTGCTAGAGAAAGAATGCGCTGTACCTCGTTAATCATTCATATTTCGTTGGAATGTAATAGGTTTTAGAGTTCACGTAGATTATGTTAGCAGTTTGATTAAAGTTTAGCCTTGGAATGTCAGAAGATGAAAATAGAAAGAAAAGCATAGCTGCTTCAAGAAACCGTAATTTTTTGAAGTTTCAGTCTTCGGAGCATATCTCGCGATTTAAAAATTTATTTTACAGTTCAACAGCCACCTCTCTTGAATAACCTTAATGATGTTTTCGTTAAAAGATTTTATTTTCTATGAGCTTACAGCACTTAAGTAACTTAAATACAAATGTCTTATTATGAATTCTCAGAATAGAATGACGTGTCTCTCCATAGCCCCCCGTTTGAGAGGTTCTGAATGACAACTTTTAGCGGGCAATGCGATGCAACAACAACAACAGTAAGCTATCGACTATTCAAAATACAGCAACAACATCATGTGTACGTTGCACTTGTTTGGCATTAGTTTACAAAGTTGCCGTTGTAAAGTTCCAAGAACAGGATAATATGGTGAGTTTATGGCCATTTTAATGAAGATATCGCGAGATTAGCAGATTCTGCTAAGTATGTTTTGATAAGAAGCTCAGGTTTTCGCTTTTCTTGATAGATCGCACGCGCGAGTACCACCATTTTCTGTTCAGTGTATGTAAGTTTCATCAGTCTCGGACCCACAGAGTAAGAAGTGTTTGATCGTGTTTGGCACCAGGCCAGTGGCGTGCTGGGGATGGGATCGCAGGGGGGGGGGCAAAGGGTCAAAATGGCGCCTCACATATCTTCCAATTTTTCTTCAACGTATTTGAAATGGGCAGAAAAGTACAAGAGTTTGGAAGCACGCTGATCTATATATATCTATCTATCTGTGGCGTACCGTAAGACCTTCAAATGAGAGTAGAGGGGGTACCAGAATCTTATTTTTTATAGAGTGAGTCTGGTACCAAGGAAATAACTGACAGGACGTGATAGAGAATTTTCAAATAGAGTATGTTATTCTTTGTTAAACCTAACAGTATTTTTGAGTATCTTAGTGGCTGTATCACCAAACTGCACAACAATGATAATCAGGAACGCCACTATTGAGGGTGGTTAGGGTAGGAAGGGCACGGTAAGATCGTTTGGGAGCATGGTGAAGGCGGTCGCTATCATTGGCGGCAAAAATTGCAAATAAGACGTTCTAGGGATGATCGGAAAATGCATCCAAATATTTACAACATCCCCTGTAGGCTCATGAAAAATCTGCAAGGCAGGCCTTGTTTGGGTTTGCTGCAAATTTGCCGGTTTGAAAACCATCCTCTGGAATATATTGTGTCAATTCACAAAATCTATTTACATATTATCATCAGACCTGCCAACCGATTTTTGAGTTTGAGTATACATCAGAACAAGCCCAGGGTATTTCTTCAGAGCTTTTTCTTCCTATCATTTTTTATCATTTCAGTAAATCAAAACTCTTTGCACCCTCTCAATAATTTTATGAAATGTTGCCTAATCTGAACTTTGACCGCCAAGCCAAAATTTTTTGAGAAGTTCCTCAAAAACACCCCCACACCCTACCTTGGTACAGCCATGGTATACTTTGTGCAAAAATCATTAAGATTTAGTGTAGGATCTTGAGATGGTGTTTGACAATCTTCGTTCAGTGCATCAAAGTGAGTAAGAAAAAAAGAAGTGGTAGGTTGCAAGGTGATTATAGGAACAATTGTTGGTGATGAATGGTTCCTATATTAATTTCTTTGTAAGTTCTTTTATGGGCATGCTGTCGTTTTATGTCTGATTTAACGTGCAGAAAACACGGAGCCAGCAAGAGACGATGTTGCGTGACAGTTGCATCTTGATGAATTTACTGACTGACTACAATTTAGGGCGTATACACATAAAACGAGGGGACGCTACAAATGTGTTGTTTATTATGTTACGTGGATACGAAGACAATGGAAAATGTTAATGACAGAAATACAATGAAGGACATGATTACATTTAGACAATGGTCACTACATGGTTCTTGTTCTCTTCGAAGCGATTTATCGTAGATTTTTATACAGTGTCCACCTTTCTATTTGTTGGGTTCTTTTACGTAAATTGTCCTCGTTTGGTAGCTATTTGGCTAAGGCACCTTCCACACCCTTATAAGGTGAAAATTCATTTTGGCACCCCTGATGTTTGATCAGCAGGGGGGACAATTGCCCCTTTGTCCCCTCTGCCAGCACGCTGCTGCACCAGGCTGCATACTAGGTAGCAAATCCCGAATATATTCGGAGTAGAGTTCATGGTATGCACCCTTTGACACTCTTAGATATTAACGTGTCGGTTATGCTCTAGTCCTTGTAATAGACGGAAAGATTTTATCCACACCCAGGCCTGTCAATTTTCAGTTTGATTATGAGTGAGTTTTGTGAAAAGGTAAGGGAGATGTTTGGGTAGTCATGGGATCTCAAGGTCAGGGACAGATCCAAAATGAATTGAGACTGCCACACAGGGAAAAGCGGGATTTGGAGGCAAAGCTCTAGAAACTTTCCCATTGCCATGCCCTCTGGTTCCTCGAAAATGCCTATTTTGAGTAGACAAAGACCCTTTTTGCAGGATGCCGTCATCATCGTCATTGTACCTTCAACCAGGTCATCAAGTAATTCAATCTGCTGCACTTTCAGAAATATCAGAAAAATGTAGCTGTAGGAGCGAGCAGAGCCCTTTCTCCAGAGAAAAGATATGCCTTCTCCAGAAAGAAGTTTTGTTTGCTCCACTAACAATCCAGTACAGTGTAACTCTAACTCAAGGGAGATTATGCTTTCCTGTACATTTTTCAAGCAATTTAATGTGTGCTAAAATCGCAATAGTGCTAATCTTCATTTCGGACAGGCAAGAAAAGAAACGATTATAATGAACTAGCTCTCTGACAAAAGACATCACTTAACCTGTGTGAATTTGCTGTTATTTAGTCATTTGATATGCCTTGTTAGGAAAGAAGGGGGCTTTTGCTAGGATTTAGAATAGAAAATGAAAAATTTGAGTAGACCAAGGAATTTATTGCAGAACGGGTGAGAAGTCTGCTTTGATATGTATGAGCATGAGAAAAGACCAAATGTGTGTGTCTCAGGCACAATGCATGAGATTTGGTAGTTCTGTGCACCAGTATCATATATTTGTAAAAGCTCTACCGCTACAGTTTTATTTACAAAATTGTCAACTGCCCTGTTTGAGGGACATTTTGAAAACAGTTAGAATGTCTCTCCTCCAACTTTGATGAAAACATAGTATTTAAATCCAACATTGTTTTCAAATTGAAAATTGTGTGCACTGGCTTCCGTTTTAATATGAGAAAAGGTTTAAAAGCTTTATAGATTATCTGAATAAAATATTTAGTAATAGTTGTAGCCAAGAAGTCTGTAAAAATGTAAATATGCACATGGCCCAACACTGTTTATAACTGGTATTGTTGATATGATCACCCTTCAAATGCATTCATCTTTGTTTATCCCAACACCCAAAGCGTTTCAAAGTACTGCTGAATAATTGAATTTAATAAAAAGATATGATTCTAGTTGTTGCGCTAGAAGCAACACCTGAACCAAAGATGATAAAAGCAGGTTATATTAAAAAATATTTGTTGTTTTTGAACAATAGACTTTAAAAACATTTTAATAGGATCAAATATAGTCATAAAAATCAGATTAAAATTGTCTGAGAACATAACTCACGTCTGTATTCACCAGAGCAAAATATTTCCAGAGTACAGGTAACATCTCACTTCCATTAATATTTTTCTAACTCTGCACCAAGTTTGCATCTTCTATCGCTGTTTCTGTTTGAGCTTACATTGAGATGCTGAAATGATATGAAAGGTACCATTTAATATTATCTAGGATATGATACGATATCTCCTTACAATGCTAAATTTAAAAACTTTTTTATCAATATGCACACTTAAATTTCATTCTGTTCTTTCCATTCTAGTTCAGATGAAATTGACTGTTTAATATGCCTCAGGTTGGAGGGGTTCAGCTACTGTTACTAGTTCTGGCTGTGCCAACACAGTATTTTATATCAAAATGGATGACACCATCCTCTTCAGATAGAGAATACATGACACGGAGGTGGGTGCATGTTAGTTTAGTTGCAATGACTTAGGATAGTATTTTTGCAAAAACATTGCCAGATAATTAAATTTTATGTGTCTCTTGACAAAATAAGATCAGAATTTCTTCTACAATCAATCACATAAAAGAATTTAGTGATGATTTATTCATAATTTTCCAATGGGTTCTTTTTTATCAATCTTTAAAATTACTTTTTTACACATGATGTTGCAATGTATATCTATTATTGAAAAAGTAATTTGAACTTGGAACTGGGATATAATGTTATCAAAATGTTGAATTTTTCATTCATTTATTTTTCCAGACTTATAAATGGCGTCCACAATTGCATTCAAGCTTTTACAAACGCAAGTACTTGGAAAAAAATTCTCATCAAGTTTGTAAAATTTACATCACCTCCATCAAGAACAAGGATAAAAGATATGGGGGAATGCCCAGCTAAAGAAGTATTCTCATATCAAAATAAAGAGGGATATTTTGCATCTTCAATAGACATCAGGAAACCAAGACCAACAAGTGTTGCATACAGAGTAGGACAAGTGATAAAACACAAAAAATGGGGATACAGAGGTGTTATTGTTGGCTGGGATGAAAGGGCAAAAGTAAACATACTTATTTGTTCAGTACATTTAAACTGGCAAGCTTCATGCATTCATTTTTAGGCAAAATCATTTCAACGCTATCTTAACACTATTGTTAAATTGTTTTAGTTTTTGTAAATATCCACTTATGTAATTTATTTTCTCCAAAAATATTATAGTTTGTATACAGTGAACAATCGGGTAAAAGAAGCCTGACTAGGTTCTTATGTATATTGGGTATTTCATAGGAAACGGGGTTGTTTAGGTTGTTGTTTAGGTTGCTAAAAATTGGTTCTTACTCATTGTAGGGATTTCACCAAATTTCTTTTGTTCCATTTCAAACTTAAATCATGTTTTTTACTGGGCTAGTGGTCTTGAAGTTTCAATGAATTGCACACTTGTTAATGGAAGTCTCTACTACCTACTTAAAATGTTGAGAAAGTTGAGCAAAAAAGAGTCTACCAAAGACTTGAATTTAAGTAAGATTTGAACAGTGCAACACAGCTTTGGAATATTGAGATACTGAACAGAGTGCTGAATACTGCATTAAAATAGCTATTTTGAAGCATCTAATAACACAAGTTAAATGTTCAATGACAATGAGTAAACAGCTAGAGTTTTAATGTCATTTGGTGATCCCTACAAATAAGAACCTATTAATTTCAGATTTCAGGCTTGATGGGTTCTTATAAAACGAGGCTCTAGTTTCATAATTTCAGTTTGTAAGATCTCAATCCACTAGTTTTTTTATACATGGGTGTCTACTGTATTATTTCTGCTGCATAATGTTGACTCCCTCTGAATTTGCACATTAACTTGTGTGTTATCTTGTTATGACCTTGCTTTGACCTGATGCTCCGTCTTTCTCATTCATATTCTCACACCAAAGCAGAGGCATCCTTAACATAACTCACAAATTCCTATATCAGCTAATCACCATTGTTTGCTTTATCTTTTTCTTACTTTTCAATTACTTTCTTAATTTTTCATTTCCTTCATTACCTTAATTGACACTTCTCAACATTTTTTCCCCCCTCCCTGAACTGCTGTTAATTTCACTTAATCAAAACTGTATGATAATATGTATAGTTCCATAGGTTAGTAAATTAATTAATACGTCCGTAGGTTAGTTTTAAAATTAGGTTCATTGACACATGACTAAACTCTCCTTGTCTTCATTATCTTTACTTGTCAAGTAAGACAATCAACCTTAAGGGCAGTCCATAGAAGTTCAGGCTCACATTATTATTTAGAAATCTGATTTCTTTCGAGGCTATGGCCAGGGGTAGGTATGTGCCACTTCCAAGTGGTGTGTGTTTTTGATACCAATAGTTTCTTATGGATTTTTTATTCTTCCATGTTGTAGCATTGCAACTTATTCACAAAAAATAGATTACAAAAGCCTTTATAAATTATCTGGTTATCATTTTGAACCATTTGAAATTTTGCTTGTCAATCCTATTTGTTTTTCTTTGCCACCAGGACTGATTTTATGGTGATTGTGTTGCATTTACAAATGAGTGATATATGATATATTCTTGTTTTTGCTTTTATCAATCGAGTGGTAAAATAATGACATATAGAATTCTTTTCTGAGTTTTTTAAATTGAAAGTATAAATAGGGCAGCCTTGCATATCATAAAGCAGTTGAATCTAACAAAAGTTGACTGTGTATTCTTTGAGATTTTGTGATGTAGTTTAAAAATATATTCTTATGAAGCGTTTATTTTACCACTCAGTTGCAATAAACTTAAGAGCAAAATTTTTTGATTTCCTCAAAACAGGCCCCAGAGTCTTGGATAAATGTGAATCACAAAAATAAATTGGTAAGTCAAATTGACCTTTATTATAGTATCATACTTTATTTAAACTGGAGGAGTTAGAAAGCTTTTAAATTGCAACTGCAGGGTTAAGCCCATTGTCTTTTTGTGCCATCTGCTTTTCCTTCTCAGCCTTTTCTCTGGCCTTTTCCTTCTCAGTGACATTACGTGACTATGTCTTCCTGATGCATTCGCTATATGCCTTTATGTCTTGTTTTTACGTATTGAGACCCATTTGTCTTTCCATCATGATGCATCTTTCTACCTTCAAATCTGATATCCACTTTAAGATTTTTGTGTATGTTTTTATAGCAGCCCATCTTTTACTTTGTGTCATTCTAATAACAGCTTGTTCCGCTTTAAAACTGGTTTCAAATAATCAACTTTTAAAACTTATTGTAGTATTTTGGTTTCAGCAGCGGCACTGGTAACTAGGCCGTGAGGGGAACAAAGTAATAAATGGCCACGCCCCTTTTATTGTAAGAAGACACCCTTTTACCAATAGGGATTTGCCCTTTTACAATGGGGACCGCCCATGACTGCATATTTTAGTTACATAAAGATACTTTCGAAATCATAGAATCACGTCGAAAATAATACGTTAAATAATAGATAAAATACCCCTCATTCACCTGTTTCTTGTCGAGTCTAGATAAAAACAAGACCTATTCTGCCGAAGGACGTGTCCACCCGAGTTAACCCCCTGTGACGCCATCATAGGTTGGTTTTGAAGTTTTTTTCCTTGGTGTAATAAGAAACATCAGAGTCTACTACATTGTAGTTGACACAAACAAAGAGTTGCATTGTTGATTCTCTCCACCAGCGGCCAATTCTCAATTGAAAGGGGTTTGTAATCTATCGTAGTCTCAAGTTTTTTAGAATCAAATATCTTCAATTTTTTTTTGTCAGCCACTTTATTTATATGATCGAAGATTGTTTGTTGATAATGGCTTGAAATGGTTGGCAAAGGTTTGGCAGCCATGTCTTTTTTTTAAGATTCTTGTATAGAAATTTCAGACCGTTTCCAAATGCTTTCCATCTTGTGCGTTCTTCTAAATTTCCAGACTGATTTTCCTTTTTGAGCCAAACATTATTAAGGCCGGTCATTTCCCTTCTATTTACCATCCTCCCTGTTAACCACAAAAAATAACATCCAATTTGCTTTTAAAGCAGTAACTCATAAGTCATAAGGCCTCCGCCAGTTTACCGTGGTCGCGAAGCAGGGTAAAGTGCCCACTCTATTTTCGGAAATTCACAAATTTCCATTCTTCTTGAGCCTAATTTATTTTTTTCAGCCATCATAGAATTGTGCCCGGAAATGATAATGTTTCTCACCCTATGATATATGTTCTACTGCAACTCTGGACCTCATTTTCGTGCTCTAGTCTAAGATATATTTTCCCATTTTTATCTTTCTGTCACACACTAGTATCTTATCTTGTCACATCGTATCAAATAGAATTACACCCTATCATATCGTATCGTATCACGTTTTGTTGTATCTATCGCAGTCAAAATCTAAGATTTTACTTTGTTTAATCAAGCAAGTCTTCTTTATCAGTCAGTCCCCTTTATTTTGCGCTCTGTGTGTCTAGTGTAGTCATCCTTAAGCTATTTTCGACTGAATGACGATCAGGGCCACGTCATTTCTTGAAGTGTCATTCCTCTTCAACTGTGTAATTGCTTGTGATCTTCATATGGATTTTTGCTTTCTCTATTCGATGATTAACTTTGAAGTATTTGCTATAAATTTGATGAATGAAGCATGCAGCGTCATTTTAATATGTTTTTACTGCCTGACTGCTTTGGAAGAGGGGCAAATCCTACGTAATTTTAAGGCAAATCTCTTCGCTGGAAAATGCCAAAGGAGATAATCTAGACATCGTAACTGCATTTACTTTCGCAAGGACTTGAATCTAACCACAATTCTTTTTCTATTTAAATATTTCTGTCCTTTTTCAGAATCGCCCATTCATTCAATATATAGAATTAATTTTGACTCCAATCATGATAATATTCTTTGATCAGACACTTTTAATTGGCTTTCCGGAATTAGTAATAATTATGACTGTTAGTAATTTGATTAATTTCTAAGATTTCTTATCTTTTCTTACTTTTTCTGAGGTTTACATCCATTTCCAAGCGGCTGATTGTTTTGAAAAAGATCATAATCTTAAAACTGTTGTAGTTAAAGGTTTTTTGATTTCTTGATGTACATATGTTTGTTTTTCCATGTTGAGCTCCAGTCTAAAGGAAATTAACTTTTAAAAACCTGTAGCAAAACAGCTATGGCCCGATGACGCCATCTTTATCCCTCGTATGCAGAGACATGTTCGCGTATTGTATTAGATTGAAGCTCTTCTTCGTAGTTCTTGCCTTTCCTTACCCCATTGCAGCTGATTTTCCACTCAGTCCTCCAATAAATTCAGCTACTTCATTCAAACCATCAGTAAAGATCAGAGTATAAATATAAATTTATTTCTTCATGTTTGAATTTTCTACCCTATGCACATGATATCGAAGATTAGCTTTCACGGCAAAAATCAAAAGGGCCAAGGGACATACCGTATATTGTAAGTTTTAATGCTGCGCTAGGTGAAATGAATTCAACCAATTACTGTGTATTCTACAATAAATTGTTCTTGTTCGGTGTGAAAAAACCTTTGGATCCCATGTCCGCAACTTTTGCTTCCATTGAAAATACACAATGCAGAGGCGAAGCGACTATAAGTGTGTTAGGAATTTTATAAACTCAACAGCCTTTCGCCATCGAGAAGAAACACCGAGTGTGCTTTCTTCAGCCTACTATGTCAAAATCTAAAACCAGGAAGAACTGTGAAAAGGTGGTCACTTTGCCCAAAACGAAGACACCAATTGCATTGACAGTGAAATTGTTTTGATTGGTTTTTCGCCTATCAGGTTCTATTATTTATCTTTACTTATCTATGAATTCACATCAGCATAACCATGGGAAAGTACAATCTTCTTCAAGCATCTCTACTTTCTTTTACAAAATTAATATTTAACGTGGTTTGGATCAATAGGCTAAGGCCATGTTCCCAGGATGATGTACAAAAGCTTTTTAATCGATGATGTACATCGATTAAAAAGGTTCAAACAGTACCCTAATTTTTAAAATGTTAGTATGCTTATTAGTAAAGGCAGGGTGCACTCAACCATCACCTTACTTTCTGTCTTTCAGAAGAACGTAATCTTTGTAATTCTGCAACAGCATTTTGACCTGGTTGACTCTCCAAGGCGGTGTTGAGCATTCGACTATTAAACTTAATTGTGTATTTTTTCATCTATTTGCCATCCCATTAGCTGCATAATTTTAACTTTCTGAAAGAAGGTGCTCCTCTTTCCAATAAATATTCTTAGCAGTACATTAAAGGCTGTCGATTGCTTGAAGGTATCCACTTTAAAGAATTACCATAATGGTATTACAAATATCGTGTTTCTTAAAACGAATATCTCACACCTCTTAAGCCTGCCTTACGCGGAGACTCTGTTATGACTATGTGACCTCTCTCTACTTGGATTACATTTTTGCATTAACTTTCATACAATGTTAAGAGCAACATGCCATGTTACACGCTTATAGGCCTTAAATCAAGTTTGCTTTACAAAAGTTTAAAATCGGTTCTCATAATGAAGAAACATTTAATTTCAATAATAAGTGAATTAATTTTCGCTTCTTCTAAAGGTACTTCGGTGTCTATCTTTGTTTCGTAACCTCTTTAATTTTTGTACCCTTTTCTCTTCATTTTCACTCTCCTTACTTTTGAGGTGGTTTCTTTAAAATAATGCTTTTATTTCTTCTGAATATCTTAAGTTTTGTTTCTCTATTTGTGTTATTATCGAAATTAAAATAACCAGATATCGCTTGAGGCGCTGATTACATATTCAAGGGCCTGTTGTTCGAATCCCTGGCTTGACCAAACTTTCACCTAGAGTGAATCCTGGTGTAAGAATCACGAAATGTAGTCACATCGAGGGGAAAGTACCAAGAGACAATCCTCCATAAGCACAGCGTCTCAGTGCCCTAAAAAGTACCTTTGAATACTAGGTATCAAATACAATACAATACAATACAATACAATACAATACAATACAATACAATACAATACAATACAATACAATACAAACAAAGACAATATTACTGTTCAGGATGCGGAGACGAACCTCCAGGATTTTCACAAACGCAAAAAACCTTGTGCAGGGCGTTGTTTGTGTCAAGGAATGAAAATTTGGCCTGCCATTATTGTATTTTTTGAATTCACGATGCGGAAATTTGTTAAAAATTTCTAGCCTTTTCACCCGGATGGTCCTTAACTGGCAACAATCTCTGTCAATACTTATGGAACATTTATGATGTTTTCAAACCTTTGCATGTATCCATCCCCCCCCCCCCTTAAAAACAATGCTGTCAAATAGCAGAAACATGGAAAGGAAACGAAAAAAGAAAACATGTAGCGAAATATAAGGTTTTCCAGGGAATTTTAGGGGGCATTGTAGATCCACACCTTTTTTTCCACAATCGCTCCCTTCCTTTATAGGCTAGTTATTTGTAAATTGTTCGTCGGGCAATTTTCAATCTCTATTCATTTCTGAGGTATATCATTCATGAGGTTTGATGTTTCATTTTCACAATGATTCCATAAAAGCTTTCCTGGGACATCAAAGTCTTCAGATAATCGTCATAAACTCTCTTTTTTGCTTGAGTTTGGAGCAGTAACTTTGAATTTTCATACAGCTACAGCTGAATCCCTATAATTCATACCTTGTTCTTTCACTAAATTGGGTTTTAAAGTACCTTTCTCCCATTGAAAGTATGACTTAACAGGATTCAAATGTATTGCATTAATTCTGTGAAGTTCTGTTTTGTTTTCTTAAAAAGTTATAACATATTTTTTATCTACCAAACAGGAATGGAGAAAGATGCCAAATTATTCAGTTCTAGTTCACACGGATGACAGATCCCCAGCACAGATAACCTACATCCCCCAAGAAAACTTTGAAATTTTAACCGATACGAAGGTACACGACGATGCTTCTTCTTTGTTGTCTCTGTCAGTGGCGTACCCAGGGCCGGAGTAGTGGGGGGGGGTCTGGGGCGTAGTGGGGAAACGCCCTTTTTGCAAAATTTTCCGCCATTATTTGCTTTATGTTAACTACAGTAAATAGCAAAGTATTTTACAATTGTTATTGACACAAGCATACAGTATCCTACACCCCCCCGCAATGAGTTTTACATCGTTTTTGGACAAATCTCTAGGATCATATTTTAGAAAAGTAGGGGGGGTCCGGACCCCCCTATTCCCCCCTTGGGTACGCCACTGGTCTCTGTTTGTCAGTTTTCTGTTGCCCTGAGACGCCTTGCTAACACTTTAAGAAGGCAATGCATACGGAGTCTTCGTGAACACTTCTCCCTTCCGGGGATCTGGTATAGCAATATCTACACTGTATCATATTATACTACTTATTTACCATTTGTAATGGTATAGCTCGTAATGTCAAATACAATTTAATGTGTTAGACATTGAGCTCATCAGTTCAAGCGTTTTTCTAAAAGTTCTGCCAACTGTTTTACGTCATGGGCTCTTCAGACGTTTTAGAGTGATAACGTTTAATTTTAAGCTAGATATTAAAATTCCTCTTTACAATTTAATTGACCCAGAAGCTTGGGTTGTGCAAGATTTTCACTAGTCGCTTGTTCGTACTGGTTTGCAATAGTGACCTTGGAAAAGTTCTTGGAACGCCTTGTTGCTCAAGTGTCTTCTATATAAAATGCTGACATAGCAATCCCTCTATCCTAAGACATTGCTGGTTGTATATATGAGCATCAAAACTATCTAACAGGAATGAATTGAACCTTACCAAATCTAACGTAAATCAAACGTAAATTAAGAAGACATTGTTTAGTGGGGAGGGAGGATGTAATAGTTAAGTGTACGAAGTCTTGATGATACCCTGTCTATTTCAAAGTTTTGCAAATGTTGAACATATCAATGTCAGAAAATGGAAAATATTATTTGATTGGAAATGTTGAAAATGTTTTTCATCTTTCAAACTCTACTTGGGATGAAGAGAAAGTTTTACCACAAAAGTCATCTCAACAGAGAAAAGAGAAAACCTAACAATACTCAGCCCATATTTTTCTAGATACTACATCTCTGAATTGGGTCTTGTTATGTATAACGAAATATTTGATGAATATCATGAGCTCAAAAAGAAATGTGTATGAAATAATGTGCAAGGTGATTTTAATACAAGATATTCCTTTTTTTGTAATTGCCGTTAAAATTGCAACTATGTGTGCGTTCGTTTGAGCTGACTCGCGTTCACTCCACGTTTTGTTTGGACCCAAAGCCTTAGTTCTTAATGAGGCTCGATCAGGTGACGACGTAGACTTGAAAAGACTGACTTAGTTTGTAAAGAGTGATGATGCAAGCTGGCCATCTGATACCATCCTTGCGTATCTATACAGTTATAAAAGGCCATGCTCCCCTTGATTCATTACATCTAAAATGAGGTTCACGCAGAAGCAGCGTCATTAAGATGCAATTTACAAGTATTACTTTTGAACTCTCTACTTGGTGGGCTTTGTGGCTGTCTTAAAGTAATCACTTCCATTTTTTATTGGATTTTCTGCATACCTTTTAAAACCAATATTTAGTTATTCTCGTTTTCAAATAGGAGCGAAATGGGTAATCTGTTTTTCGACGTAGTTGTATGATTATGTACGTCAATTTAACCAGTCGGTCAGTTTTGCAAGAATAAGCTGACACGAGCCTTAAATAGAAATAGCTTTGATAGTTAACATTTTTAGTAACATGCACTCCATGTTGATTACATTATGCAATCGGCGTTGCATGTATTTCCTTCAGCGATACATCCATCGATGGCTTGCCAAAAATGTCTTTATTTTGGTCAGCTCTTATGCTAATTGAATTTATGTTTTCTTCACGAGAACTTCTTACAGATTAGTTGCTTTTTATGGGCTGGAAATTTGTTTTTATGATTTGTAGTTCAGGTGTTAGACTTGTGATTTCAAGGCGTTGACACATGTGCTTCTAGGAGCCGCATTTCTCCGCTTATTTTGAAATTAGAATCAAGACGCAAGTAAAATGAAACCCCAGCTTTATGACTATTCAATTTCCTTCTGCGTCTCAGACATACCTTCTAGATCATATTTTTTTTAGATCAATCACCCTGAAGTCGAAGATTATTTTGAAGACTTTGACGGAGCACAGTACGTACCAAGACCGTGGCTGAAAGAAATCTACCCTCTTGATTAGTAAGACAATTCCAAAACTATTGAATCATAAATCTTGTTTTACGTGTTTCTGAAAATACTATTTGCAGCTCGTTAGCCAAAAGATTAATAAAGCACTTATTTGATGTCCTAAATAGCACCTAACTTTCTATAGGCAAGTCACCTCATTAAAATTTATCTCAGGTCAAATAGAAAGATTTATAGCATTGAGTATTTGCATATCTTTAAGCTGTTGTCGGAAAATTCAGATTGAGCAAATTAACAGATCATTGCCGATGGTGTCTGTTTGAGGTCACTCATTCACTGTAATAATTAAAGCTTTAATTAGTTCTTTCGTTATAATTATAAGGTGGAGATTCTATTTTTTTGTTTACAAGGGCTTCAAATTGTTATATTCTCTTAATTCCGTAGGCCAATTCATATAGAAGACACTTCGTTTACTTTCATATTCGAATCCAAAACACAACTCAACTAAAATTCCATAACACCCTTATTAATATAACCAAGCATAACAAAACAATTGTTGCACAGGGCAACCAAAGCAAGGTTCAGCATATTACTCATAATAATAATAATAATGAAGGTTCACTTTATGACATCACTTCCCCTTTTTAAAAATCAGCGAATAAATCTTGATGGTATCGGATCACCATATCTCACCGGTTGACTCCTTACTCTTGTTGATTGACGGCGTGCGTTATTTCCAAGTCTGTGTTCGCGTTCTGCTTGATTTCCTTCTTTGTTCAACTCTTGTTCTATATCACTGTCGAACTCTTCATGCTGATCTACTCTAGCAGGAAATTTCTTGAAATGTGACACATTTCTTGTGATACGTCTTGTTTTGTTCTCTGCGGTAATCATCGTCCCTTTACGTTGGATAACTTTGTATGGGGCTTTATCAAATCTTGATGAGAACTTGTTCTTATACTGTTGTTTCACGAGTACCGTATCTCCTATTGCTATATCACTTTCTTTCGCGTGTCTCTTCTTGTCAATATACATCTTCTGATATTTCTGTGACTTCTCTTCATTTTCTCGAGCGATCTTGTGCTTGTTTATAATACTTTTCCGTTTCAGTATTGGGAACTTTCCACGAATTTGTCTGTTGAACAAAAGTTCGCACGGTGGAACTTTCGTAGTAGAGTGCGGTGTTGTGCGATATTGTAGAAGAAACCTTTGTAATTCTTGCTTCCACGGTTTTCCTTCCACGATCGCTGCTTGAATAACTTTGCCTAGCGGCTGGTTGAAACGTTCGACCTCTCCGTTTGCTTGTGGCCATTTGGAGTACTTCGGTCATGTTTTATTCCCAATATGTGTAAATAACGCTTGAATTCATCTCCATTGAAAGGAGGGCCATTATCCGTCTGTATCTTGTCGGGAATTCCATGCACAGCAAAGATACGATCTAGTTTAGGTATAAGTGTTGAAGCTTTTGTAGAGGAAACAACTTCTACTTCTGGGAAACGCGAGTAACGATCAATAATGACTACCAGATAGTCACCTGTTGGCAGTGGTCCATAATAGTCTATGTGTAGTTTCTCCCATGGTTTTGTTGGTAATTCACTCAATTGCAATGGCTCTGGTCTGTTTTCTTTACCTGTTGCTTGACAAGCAAGGCAAGAATCAATCGTTGCTTTAACTAAGTCATCTATTTTTGGGAACCACACTTTCTCTCTGATCATAGCTTTTGTTTTGGACAGTCCCTGATGACTTTCATGCGCGATGTCAATTGCCTTTTGGCGTAAAGATAGAGGAATGACTATTCTTGAGCCTCTAAGAATAATATTCTGAGCACCGATCGAAAGTTCTTCTTTGATTGCTCGATATGACAAATCGACCGACTCCCACGCACCTGAGCGAATAGCGGCGCGAAGTTTCTGGAGTTCTTTGTCGCTATTGGTTTCTTTACCAATCTCATACAGACTCATTGTCTTAGGAACTGCATTAGAAGTTACGAACTTTATGTATTCCTCAGTGAACTCTGTTTCTTTTGATGTTTTAGCAGATGGATGGCGAGATAGGTAGTCCGCAGCGTTCTCTTTGCCAGGTTTATATTTAATTGTAAACTGATATGGCTGCAAGCGTAAAACCCATCTTTCTATCCTGGCTGATGTCTTAGAGCTTGGCGATCCGTATATGATCTCTAGAGGCTTATGGTCTGTGACAAGTGTGAAAGGTTGACCATATAAAAACAAATGGAAATGTTCAATGCCCCATACTATGCTCAAAGCTTCCTTTTCCGTCTGGGAATAACGACTTTCCACATCTGTTAAGGACCTACTAGCATATGCAATTACTTGATGGTCCTTTTTTTCTTTTGAGCTTTGCGATAAGATGGCTGAAATGCCTACAGGACTAGCATCAACTGTCAGACTAGTAGATTTGTTTATATCAAAGTATCCCATAACTGGTGAAGAGGTAAGCGCTCGTTTTACCTGTTCAAACGCATTGTGATGTTCCTTTTTCCACGAAAAGATCGAGTTCTTCTTGATAAGATCTCTCAATGGAGCTGTAATTGTTGAATAATTTGGGATGTATTTGGAGCTATAATTAGCCATTCCCAACAAACTTCTCACTTCACTTGCATTTTTGGGAATTG